TCTCTCATGCGCGCGTGTTGGTGCATAGCGGTCGTGAGTCTGAGTGCTCAAAAATTTGAGAGCGACGTGTTTGGTGAGCTTGGGATCCCAGGATGCCTCGCCTTGGGGGTCAAGTAGGGGGGTGCGTGCATGCTTCTTTGACCTGTCGATGTATGTCACTCAGCACAACCACCATCTGGCCATTCTTCAGCTCGCACTTCAGGTCTTGTGTCTCTGGTTCCCTTGTCTCTTGCTTCACCACTCAAAGACCCAAAAGTCCGGCCATACGTGAGCAGGTCTGCCGCACGCAGACCCCTGCTCATATTACACTCCGAGCAAGTCGCTCCTTCCCAAGCGGCTGACACTCTACCAAGCATCATAAGCACGCCTCACGCAGCTTCAGCAGCTCCCTTCTGCTTTCAATCCCTCTCCTTCACGTGTATACCCTCCCACGCACGCAGCATGTCGCCCACTGCGACCACCAACGGAGCCGGAGCCAGCGCCAGCGTTGATGCTCTCCTCAAGGCCCCAGATGCTTCGAGTGCAGCACAAGCAGCCGAGGCCTTGGCCAGCCACGTCAACGAGCACGGTTTCCGCACCCTCGACAGCGAGAACATTCTTGCTTCTCTCTTGACCGCTACGCGCAGCAAGAAATCTGCGACAGACCGCGAGAACGCAGCTATCGGATTAGGAGCTCTTTTTGTCAAGGTGGGAGGCAAAAATGCTCCCACTCCATTGGGTGCCGAACCTTGGTTCCTCGGATCTCTTACACCTCTACTGGAGCTGTACGCTGACAAGGTTGACTCTGTCAAAAAGGCGGCTGAAAGCGCAGTGGGAAGCTTGCTCGTTCTGGCTCCTGCTGAAGCCACACCGGAGCTGCTTCAAAACCTCTATGGCACGATCGAGAGCAGCGCGAGCAAGTGGCAGTCCAAAGTCGGAGCATTGAAGCGTATCAGCAAGTTGGCAGACGCGTTCCCTGAGCAGATCGGAGAGCAGCTGGAAGAGCTTATTCCTCATCTTAAAAACGCTATGAGCGACACCAAGAGCGAGGTAAGTCGGGATTTTCGGCTATGTGCGCAATTTGTGGCGGTCTGCTAATTCCCTGCTCGCTCTGCTCAGGTCTCCAAGCAAGCCGTCAAGACCACCACAAAGGTCTGTGGAGTCATCGACAACAATGACATCAGACCCCATCTGGGATCGCTCGTCGAGGCAATGAGAGCGCCCGACACCGTGCCCGAGTGCATCAAGCGCTTGTCCTCGACTACCTTCGTCGCTGAAGTCACTGGTCCCGCCCTTGCCATCATGGTCCCCTTGCTCGTCCGTGCCCTCAACGAGAAGAACTCGACAGTGCAGCGCAGCGCAAGCATCATCGTAGAAAACTTGACCAAGCTTGTCAGGGAACCGCACACCGCCGTTCGTTTCCTGCCGTCTCTGAAGCCCGGCGTGGAACGTATCGCACAAGGCGCGGCCTTCCCCGAAGTTAGACAGCTCGCTGGAAGTGCCCTTCGCACTCTGGATGAGGCTACCAAGGCTGTGGGTGAGGCCAAGGAGGAAGAAGACCCTACGAAGGCATTTGCGGCCGCCAAGGATGCCGCTGCTGGTCGCATCAACGTTGCTCTAGTCGGACACTTGCCCAGTGAATACGCAGATGTAAATGCGGACTCGTGGGCTCAGACCGGTATCCGCTATCTCGCGGCTCTGATTGCGCGCTTGTCGGACAAGCGCGTGGTTGCATCAAGCGCCTGGAACGAAGCATACGTGCTGCCATACTTGCGGCGCATCACAGCATCTCAAGAATCCGCCCAAGCCGTCACTGATACACTTCGAACTCAGTACATCAAGATCGATGAGGAGCGCTTTGGTGCGCCTGAAGAGGATGATGAAGAGATTTCGGGCGAATGTCTGGTCAACATCCAGTTCTCCCTTGCGTACGGCGGTCTGCTCTTGCTCAACCACACCAAGCTCAGACTCCACAGAGGTCACAGGTACGGTATTGTGGCCACCAACGGTAGCGGTAAGAGTACCCTGCTCAAGGCTATGCGCGACGGCAAGGTGGAGAATTTCCCTACCGAAGCTGATGGGGTCCGAACCGTCATGGTGGAGCACAACCAGGGCGATGGTGCCGGCGAGAAGATTGTGAACTATGTTCATTCGGACCCTGGAGTTCAAAAAGCCGGAAAGAGCAAGGACGACACGCACAAGGCCCTTGCTGACGTCGGCTTCGACGAGGAAAGGAGGAACAACGGTGTCGAGTCGCTGTCTGGTGGATGGAAGATGAAGTTGGCACTGGCTAGAGCTATGCTGACGGGAGCTGACATCCTCTTGCTCGACGAGCCCACCAATCACCTTGACGTCGCTTCCGTCAAGTGGCTCCAGGACTATCTCGTCTCCAACACCAATGTCACTGTGCTCACCGTCAGTCACGATTCCGGCTTCTTGGACAGCGTCTGCACCGACATTATGCACTACGAGAACAAGAAGATCAAGTATTACAAGGGCAACTTGAGCGATTTCGTCGGCAAGAAACCCGAGGCGAAGTCTTACTATTCTCTTGCTGCTACCAGCATCAAGTTCTCCTTCCCACCGACCGGGGCCCTTGCCGGTGTACGATCCAACACGCGTACCATTCTCAAGGTGCAGGATGCCACCTTCAC